TTTTGAACCATGCAGTGTTACCCTGCTCTGTTCTGACTACTGCCTCTTGGTCCAAGTATAGGTTTCGCATTAGCACAATTAAATGTTCTGGGGGAGATATTCACATCCTGTTCCCCTGGAGTGGGTGAGCTTTGAAATAGTAACAATTGTTATTACCAGGTAAGATTAGTGTGTGTGTGTCCTGTCAGCTCTTCACAAACGAGGAGCCTTTGCAGTGATTACTGTCCTACACAACCTTCACCAGCTTCCCTAGTTTTAAATTTCCTGAACAGTACACTCGTGCATAGAAATGGGGACATGCTCGTGAGTGGCTGTCTTCCCTAGGTGAGGAGGCACAGAATAGGGACTTGACAGCATCCACTCTCTTCCTTGCCAGCATCTGGCTCTCATCACAGGCTGACCCCTAATGTCCGTCCTGGAAGCCCAGACTCACTTCAAGTGGAGCTCTCGTGTCTGAAGCCTTGGGCTTCCCAGTGGCTAATTCAATAATTAAGTGATGCAGAAAGCCTTCTGTGACACAAGAACCTTCTTTTTCCAAATTGTGGAAACGTTTCGCTCCTTTCTTTGCATGTTGGTCTTGGGCCAGAGGGAGATCTGAGGAGGAGACCCAGGAAGCAGTAGGCATAGGGGTTAATGAGATGGGGGTGGGGGGGTAAGAGAAGCAAGTGTGGGGTCCTTGGTGCCATCAGCTTCAGAGGACAGCGACAGAGACTGCAGCTGAGTGAGGGGCTAGAGACAGAACCACTGATTTGGCATATTCATTATAAAGGACTTTTTTTAACACTTAAAAATTTTTCAATATTGTTTTTTATACAAAATTCGTATACATTGTGTTTCACACGTTCCTTCATTCACATTGTATTTCATACAATCATTGTCACATATTGTCTTTTATAAAATCAATGACCATTGAACTATACCCACCATCACTCTGTTTGCAGGACTCCATCAGATCCTTCCCATTTCTCCTTTACCCTCTTCCTCCAACCACCAAATTGTGGGGCTCCGTGATATCCCCCTGCACATCCTCATCCCTCTGTTCCCATCGCTTCTCCTTTGGTCCCCCATACACGCTTTACTAGTTGCTCTTCTGTTTTCACAGTAGTGGTCTTATGCAGTATTTGTCCTTATGAGACTATGGTAGCTCACTCAGCATAATGCTCTCCAGTCTTCCCTAAATTATGTAGTTTCTTGAAATAGTTGCTTCTGAGTACAATTTACCCCAATTCTCTTGTCTCCCATTTAGAACCGTATGGAAGAAAGCAAAGCTTTATTTAAAACAATTATCACCTACCCTTGGTTTCTGAACTCATCAGTGATCTTGTTCTTAAACAAGAAGGATCTTCTGGAAGAGAAAATCATGTACTCTCATCTAATTAGCTATTTCCCAGAATACACAGGTAAGTAGGCAGTTAACTGTGACTGCGGTGTCAGGCCCGACTCCCTCCCTGGGTCAGTGCAAAGCTGTTCCGAGGGCTCAGCAGGGCCTGGTGACCTGCCCCTTCACAGCTCTCACCTTTATCCCCACTTGAGCATCATTTGTGTGTTTTCACATCAGGCCCCCCCCCCCCATGCCTTTGCCAATAACCAGAATATACCTGCCAGCTTTTTGCTAAGGCTGTTTCTCCCCAAGAGCCAGCTCAGGCATCTTGGAAAGACTTTGAGCCTCTGCTTGGCATTGTGCACTTTCTTTATGCTGGGCAGGCCTGCTCACGCTCGGCCTCGGCATGTCTACGCTTCTCTGCTGCCTGATCTTTGCATTCTCAACACCAAGTACCTGGCACTTCTTCCGCGTATGTTAACATGTGCTGTCTTCTTCAGCAGACACAAGGTGGGCGCTGCCGTTCTGTATATAAGTAACTTTCCTGCAGCAGATCTGAAGCCCTAACTCACTACACTGATAGCACAGTAACCGGCCCCAAGTGTTAGAATCGGACTTGGAGGCCTGCCTACAGGCTCCACATTCTTCTCTTTCCTCTCCTAGACCACTCCTGCCTAGTATCGTAATAAATAAGGATGCTCTCTCTTAGAAAATGGTCTGAATCAGAACATTTCCTTTTTGAACAAAATATTTTTAAGTATAATCTTCAAGTATGAGTGGGTATTATGAATACTGTTATTCTATGGATTCATATAATGGTGTGCCAACAAAATAACATCCCAGATAAACTTTCCCTAGAAACAAAATAAGATTGATGAAGGAAGCATCCAAATGAGGGCAAATCAGAAAACCTAACCGCAGGCGTGCTGTCAGTTCTACTCTGGCCTTGCAGAGGTGTGCGCCCCTGTGATCCTGCTGGAAGAACACCGACATGCCCTTCTCCCGCAGAGAAACCAATGAGCTCAAAGCAGGCCTTTTGACTAGCAAACCACTGTGCCACCAGGCCCCTGCCTGCATTCTTCCTGCTTCTCAGGAGGGCACTGTGGTGAGTCGGGATCTTTCTCTTGCCTCCTCTAACTGAACTTGTGCCTAGGGCCGAAGCAGGACGTGAAAGCAGCCAGAGACTTTATCCTGAAGCTTTATCAAGATCAGAATCCCGACAAGGAGAAAGTCATCTACTCCCACTTCACATGTGCCACAGATACAGAGAACATCCGCTTTGTGTTTGCTGCTGTTAAAGACACAATTCTACAGCTAAACCTGAGGGAATTCAACCTGGTTTAAAAGCTGCTGCCTACACCTCCATCGCTGAAGACAGGGTTTACACGTGCCTTTTGTTCTGTTTGCAAATGCTGACATCACCTGGCCCAGCCCCTTGTGCCCGGTGCCTCCTTATGTCATTTGGAACCCAGGCCACTGAAGAAAGCTACAGCTTTGGCATTTACCAAAAAACCTTTCTAAAAAGCCTTTCCTCTATGATTGTTTTTCTAAACTTTTGGCTGTAAAACTTTGTGTAATTTTAAAATTTTTTATAGAATTTAAAAAAGCTGCTGTGATTTACTATGTATTTTTTTTATTATTTTAAGTGTGTTTAATAATAATCATTAAAACCATGTGAGACCTTTCATCCAGAGGGGCCGATTAATTTCTAGATCATGCATGCCTCAAGACTGCTAAAGGCATTCATTTGGGTGACTATGTTTTTTTAGAGAATGTTAGTGGGTTTGAAGCTTTGCAGTAAGTCTTGCAAACTAGAGACATTCTGAATTGGTTCCCACTGCCCCCCTCCTGCCTTTGGTTGAAGTATGCCTTCTTTTTTTTTTTTTAATTTTTGTGTGCGTGTACCGCCAAATCACATCTGACTGGTACAGGAGGAGATTGTCCCTCCTTCCCCGGCAGAGCATCTGGTAAAGTATGCCTTCTTTAAACTGCTACCAAAGATTTTTTTCAAAACACTTGGTTCCTTCTGTGTGCTAACTTTTAAAGCCAAATTAACAAGAAAACCAGTACATCTTACTTTGACAAAGTTCTAGATTACAAAGACATGATTTTGATTAAAACGTGTTTATATATGTAGATATGTATTTCAGGGTATATGACCAGGTCTTGTAAACTTAATGAAATGGTTAAATTCCAAATTGTTGAATGTCACATAATCAATGTGATGGCCATCATGATTGTGTTATGTTTGATGTATATATGCTGAATATACCAACTATATTAGCACTGAATTACACTGTTCCTTTAAGCTCATGGTTGACTGATGGTTCTGCTCATAAGGTCAAATGCTGTGACTTAAACAGTTAATAAATCAGAAACTTTCCTAAATTTACACCTTTTTGAGGCAAGTCTGTGTTGATTATATGAGTAGCTGATTCTGTATAGCAGAGGCTGAATCCCCTAGAAAAGTACAAAGTGCTTCAATCCAAGGTAGTTTGTTCCTGATTTTCCATGACAGGTGTGCATACATATACATGTACATATACATGTGTGTACACACAATACTGAAGAGATTTATCTCAAGTCCATCTACTCAACATACCTGGTCACATATGCCATGGAACAATGTCCATGTCCTTCTAGCTGCACTCTGCCTTTATATCAGCCAGTGAGGAGACTAGTGGGTTCTCACTCGGTTGGAATGAATTTGAAGATTGAAACCATTAAACAACAGACAAATATCAATGTTGGAAAAGACAAGAACTCTGCTTCTATTTAGCAATTCTACCATAGCAACTTGAAGCTTTAAATAAATCTTCTCAAGAGATGAGTACACGAGCAAGTTGTTGCAAAACTTCACACAGTGATGCTAACATTTCTAACATTAAAAAATCAGGAATAGCCAAGACAATTCGGCAAAAAGGAACAGTGATGGAAGACTAGCTCTTCGGGATATCTAAAAGCACAAAAGCAGCAACAACAAAAAGAAACACCCTTCCTGTTTCTATTGGCTTAAGAGTTTGAACTGGTCCCAGTTAGTTCAATAACTAAACCATAACGAAATGGTTAGTTTATTAACTAATCATAAAGGGAAAAGAGCTCAAATGAATGGGTAATCAGACATATTCAATAACGTGGAATTCTGCTTTTTAGCCCAAGCACTTTCTAGTACTGCACTATTGTTTTTTATCTCAGGCTGACAGTTAAAGCATGCAAATAAATGATAGTTTTTAATCACTATATTTATAGAAGAGTTATCAAATACGTCATTAAAAGTGGTAATAATAAAGTGTTTCCTTAAGTGAAGAAAAGGCTGTACTCTTATCAAAGATGAAGTAATTACCTCTGTCACTTTTGATTCCACAAGTACAAGATTCTTACTTTGAAAATGTATTCATTGAGGTTGATAGGCATGCTTAAAATTTTATGAAAAATCACCACTCAAGTTTTTGGTCATGATGGGCTGAAATGCTACCACTTTTAACTGAAAAACAAGAACTTTGGCCAATCTGTTGGCTATCCACATTTAGGTGTGTGGTTGTGTGTGTGTGTTAGAGACTGGAGTATATTATGTGCCACTGAGCTGACTTTCACTCAGAATGACCCTATGAACAACAGATCTGAACCTTGCCCTATCCTGTGTCATCCTCATTGTATCTCATATACTTGAGCCCATGGTTACAGTCACTGTATCAGCCCATCATGTTGAGGGTCTCCCTCTCTTGTACTGACTCTTCACCTTTTTTTCTTTTTTTCCCTTGAAGGCTAAGATTTTTATTTATTTATTTAATTTTACAATCAGAAATGCACAATCTAAAGAGGATAAAATTGATGCGTGGGACCTTCTAAAGATTAAATCCATGTATGCATAAAAAACTTTTTGCAGTAGGGTGAAAAGAAAACCTACAGACTGGGAACAAACATTTTGGAATACCATTTCAGACAAGAGTCTTATAACAAAAGTTTACAGACTACTCCTGGGCATCCACAAGAAAAAGACTGATAATCCAATTACAAAACGGGCAAAATGTCTATCCACATTGTGAAGGTCATTAAAGTGGGATTTTACATACGTGAGGTAATGCTTCCAGGTCTTTTGTTAGGTGCTGTTGAGTCAAGGACAACTCATAGCAACCCTATGAACAAAAGATCCGAAGCCTGTTCTATCCTGCAACATCCTCACACTTCCTAACACACAGGAGCCCACTGCAAGTCCCCGTGTCAATACAGCTAGGTAAGGTCTTCCTCCTCTTCATGACCTGCCACTCTTCGTGTTCTCCTAACAACATGCCCAAAGTACATGATGTAAAGTCTCATCATTCTTGCCTCCAAATAGCACTCTGGCTGCACCCTCTCCAAGACATATCAAGTATAAGCTGATTAGCTGTTTCCGATTTCATTAACAATCAACTGTGGGCTGGAAGCCTCTTGTTTAAACAGTCAGGACCTGGTGGGTGGGACTTTGTATTTAAAAGTGGGTTGGGTCCTGCCTGAGGGTGAGTCTCCAGTTTGGAGCAGTTGGATTCTGAAGGGTGTTTTTATTTAGTTGGAGGCTGGGTGTAAACTGTTCAGGTGTTTTTTATTTTGTTCTCAATCAAGTGTAAGCTTCCACTTCTACCAATAAGCAAAGAGGCAGACTAAAGACTAGGAATCCTTATCCAATTGGTGAAAAGTACACATGATTAAATTGTAAATTCTTCTTAACAAGCAATCTAAATCAATTGCAAATCAGACAAATGACTTAGAGAAAAGCCTTTAGTGAGCAATGCCAATCAAGGGGTGGGGGCAGACGCAGAGGCAAAAAGGAGTAAGATTATAGGTAGTTTTGAGATATAGAACTTCACTGTAAAATCTAAAAATTATCTTTATCAGAATACATATAAAACAGGCAGATTGTGTTCATAGGCAAACTGGCCAGGAGCTTGGATAACATGTGTAAGAAACCTGAAAGAGGTGCTGAAACAGGTTCTTTAAAAGCTATCAAGGATTCTATTTTCACCAAACAATAAGCATTCCAAAGAAGCGAGACTTTTTATCAAAATACAATTAGTAAGACAAAGTATTTTCAAAGTGAACAATTTCTTAAAAATTTTGTTTTTATATGTAATAAGCATAGTCAATACAGAAAACTAAGCTTTGAAAGTCTAACAATGTAGCTGGCTTTGTAACACATTTTCAGATACAGTTTCTACACACCTCAGTGTGGCTGTAAAACTACTGAGAAATAATCCAGGCTACATTTTTACTTGTTTCTTAGCCCAAGAATTAGGATCTTTGGGATAACTAACGGCACACTGATTATGTAACTCCTTAACCATGAAATGCTGGAGCATTTGAAGTACTTTCCTGATTGGAACGCTTTTTTAATTCTATCACCCTCACAGGTGTTCTTGCTACAGGACTTTTTTAATGAGAGGACACTTTATTAGGGCACTAGAGCAGAAATAAATAGATGGTAACAGAATTCTCAGGTTAACAGTTTGATGTTTTAAACTTAAATCAAATTAGATAGCTAGTAATTTATACAACAGAAATTTTAAAGAATCAACCTATAAAAAAGCAAAGCTATCTTCTTGGGTAGCTCTTTCAGTAATTAAAGTTATCAATGTTTCTGAAAATACCAGAATGATTTTCCTATTATGAGACATGAGACTAGTTTACAAAAGAGAAAAAAGTTTCAAGAAAGTTTCCAATTAAAGAAGAAATGAGGCTTGTAACAGAATAGGAAGGACACTCTGCCTTGCAGTGAACGTGGTGGTCTGCTTTCAGGATAGGCCTCAGCAAGTACTGCTGTAGAGCAACTGTAGCAAGAAGAAAAGGGGCATGAGCAAGTCTGTGAAACAGCTGCAGTAGCCAATGAAGGTACAGAAGACTGGAACCCTAAAATGAACTGATTAATGTTAAACTGATTAGCATCCACTGTAAGGCGCTTGGAAGTATGTGAGCAGATTAGGCAGGAGGTTCAGTACTGTGTATAGCTTTTTTCCGTTTGTAAAGGAGCATGTGATCTGAACAGCACCACAGAAAACCAAATAGACTAAAATCTGTACTGAATTGAGCAAATGCATGGTCTGTCACAGGGAGCTGTGCTGCTAGCTCAAAGGCAGTGTCTCGCTGGTGGTTTGAATCCACCAGTGCTTCTCAAGAGAAAGATGAACAATCTCCACATGTGTGATTTAGTCTCCTGAGAATTGGCTAGAGTCAGCCAGTTTTAGGAACAGCAATAAGTGAGTGAGTGAACTGCACAAGAAATTAACTTGTTATCCAACTTTTCTACATAGATCTTAAAGAAATAGGGGCATTAACACTTAGAGCAGACTAGCAGATATGCCAACAAAGGCTGA